TCCGGTGGGGGGAGCACCCGCACCCACACACCGAAACAGTCCTGGGTTCAAGTTCCTCCTCGGCCCCTGCGCAGCTGCGTGACCCCTGGTGGAGCCTCTCAGGCGCTACACCTTGTTTTCCTCAGTTGTAATTGAGGAGATGCTTAGACCGCACCACAGCTTTTAACTGGGGGGTTGGGAGCTGGCCTTTTGCACTTCCTGTGAGTCAGTGATGACACCATCACCCCCACTTGAGCATCCGGCTGGGGAGAGGGGTCCTCGGCTTTTACATGATTCACAATATCTCTTCCCACTCCACCTCTTGGTTCCAAGCGGCTTTGACGCCCCAGTCCTCCCAGATCCCCCTGCCCACTGGCCTCGAAGGTGATCCGCGAATGGCGCTGCACGGCCAGGTCCGCGATGTTGACTCGGTTGAAGATTACGTTTTCCATGCAGCCGCGGAAATTATGCCGATAGGCCAGGTTCTTCTGCGAGGCGCCCACCAGACCCCCAATGAACATCTGCGGGCAGAGTGAGGAGTGAGTACACTACAGATGGCTTCAGGGGGCCACTCCCATCAGGATCAATGGTGAGGTTTCCATAAGCTTTCCCACTGAGCCGACAAGCGCGGCAGCACCTCCCCCACCACGCTCCCCCACCTCGCCATAGACTTTCCCACGCTCCAGGCAGATTGAGTTTTATAAGACTTGAGACACACATTGCCCCAGTATCGGTATTGAAGCTGGAAGCTCGCTGGGCCTCCCCAGGCTTGGGTTCTGGCCCTGACTCCACCATAAATTGGCTGCATGCCCTTAGGTAAGTCAATGAACCTGTCTGGGATTCTTTATCTGCAGATCAGGGCCTGAAGGGGGCAATTTTCTCATCTTGCCCGATCCCCCAAATCCAGATTTCCAGACTCCATCTCAGTAGTTCTGGGGTGGAGCCCGGGAATCTGCGTGATAATAGCAGCAGCAACAACAAAAACCCAGGCCTTTCTGGGAGTTTGCCAAGAGCTGCTAGCATATTCAGACACCCGAAAGCACAGTCTTACCTCTGGCAGAGAAAAGTGCTGTCCCCCACCGGCCCACCCGGCATCCCACTTAACCAAATGGCTCCTCCCTTCTCCGCTCACCTCGGTGTCCAGGTTCAGTCTCTCAAAGTCGCCATTGAGCACGAAGCGCTGCTCGTAGCCGTCCAGGGTGAGATTTGCTTCACGGCCAAATCGGTCCACACGTACGTAATGCCAGTGCTGGTCATTGAGGACGCCACCAGCGCTCACGGTTGTGTGACCGGGCCTTGGCTGGATGGGGCTGCTGCCTGAGGGTAGGGTGGGGCGGGGTCAGACCTGGAACCTGGAAAACCCAAGCGAGCCCTACTGTCCAGCTAATCCCCAGGCAGAGCAGCAGCCGGCAGCACAGAGGAGGGACTGCCCAGGGCCCAGGGCAGCCAGGGAGGGTGGGCATACAGAGATTGGACCACCCTCAGCCTGGGATGGAGCAGTGGCCATTGGCAAGTATGGACTTAGAGTAAAGCCATTTAACCTCTCTGAGCCTCTGTTTTCCCATCAGTAAAACTTGAGGCACGATAGTTGCTTCTACCTCATCATGTGGATGTTATGAAAAGCGATTGAGATACAAAATAATAACGCTTTAGGCGTGTGTGTATACGTATATACAACGTTTTTACAATGAGGAAACAGACTGGGGAAGTGCTTGTCCCGCTGGTGGGTGGTAGAGCTGAGACTGGAATCCGCTTCTCCTGATCCCGAGTCCAGTGTTTTGCTAGCGCCAAATTTTACACGAAAAAGGTGGGTTGGTCCAAACACTAAGGAAGGGAAGGATAAGGAGTGGGGTGCGGCTTCGCGGAGGAGGTGCAGCAAGAGACGGGGGAGGAGAGCCTCAGGCTTTGCGCCGGGATCTCTGAGCTCACCCAGGCTCATGTGCAGCAGCAAGTGCGCCCCCTGCAGCTCGAGTGTCACGTAGTCGCCCTGGGCGCCCTCGGCGTGCAACAGGAGCCCATCCTTCTCTTCGGTCTTGAAGCTGAAGGCGAACACGTCCCACAGACTCCGGCTGACCCCTCGCGGGAAGCGGTACGAGATGGCGTCATCGCCATCGAAATAGAGCACGTCGGACTCTGCGCGAGGGGCAGTAGGTGGGTTGGGGACCAGGGAGACTCTTTGTCTCCCGGGCACCACCCCCACCCCGCCCACGACCTCACACCCTTACTGTAAGGGCAGCCGTAGAGGCCGAGCCTCAGGCCGATCTTGCCGCGCGGGTTCCAAGCCAAGGGCACGATGCGGACGTAGCGCGCCGTAAAGTGGTAGTGCAGGTCGTGGCGAACCACCGCCGACTCGTTCACGTTACCGAAGAAGGTCTGAGGGGCAAGGGAAGAGGAGTGACCACGTCCCCACCCTCTGCTTGCTTCTCCACAGCCTCCCAGTCCACAGTTGTCGCATCTAGGCAATCTCGACTTCTGGAAGGCAAACACTCCTTATCTCCCCTGCCTTCATGGCTTTACACAAACACAGTTTCCCTAGCCTAGAGCGTCCCATTATATCCTCAAAGGTCAACTCAGGTGTCACCACCTTCAGGAAGCTCTCCCAGATTTCACCCTGAAGTATGTTAAACCCTGTCACTGGGAATATCTTGCACACGTGGGGAGCCGACAGTCCCTCTGGACTGAGTCCTTGGGGAGGAAGTCACTGCTCCTCATCTGTGCCCTCACCACTGCCTGCTGCCCCTGCCCCAGGACTGTGCCCAGCCCAGCCCAGGTCACAGAGCTGAAAAGGTTCCCCAGGTGTGTGCGCAGGGAGCCTGGAGTACCGCGTTGTGCCCTCGCTGATAGAACGGTGTCCAGCTGTCCACTCGGTCGCCATAGAGCAGCATGTAATGTGTGACCCAGTCCCAAGAGTTAAAGGAGCCCTGCGTGGCCACAGCCCGGATCCGGTGCTTCTCCATTAGGTCGATCTGGAGCCAGGGATTTGGGTCTCCAGTCCGGGGAGACCATCCGCTTATGCCTATAGAAGGGGCAAGGCCTTTCACCACTGGCTCCCCATTCACCTCCAGCCCTCCAGAGTCCCCCACCCCACCATGGGGCACCACCACGCTCACCGTGCAGCCGGGCAAAACGGGGCGCGGTGAAGAGCCCATAGTAGGAGGAGGCGCCCAGGGAGCGTGCATACAGGGGCCCAACCAGCTCCTCGTCACAGCCGTCTGGGTTGCGGGAACAGACATAGTGATCAGGGTGGCCCCTCCCAGTCTTCCCAAAGGCCCAGCACACTGAGCAACCGGAGCTCTTTCTTCTCTCTCCCCCATTGCAGACCCAGCCCTAACTTAAACCATCTACTCAACCTGGTCTGCAGCAACAGCTGCACACTTCGGGGAGGCCGCCTTCCTCCTCTGGGAGAACCCGTAGGCCAGACCCTGCCTAGCACCAGCTGGGGTTCAGTACACCCACAAACACAATCCCAAACCTCAGCATCTTTTAGAACCTGAGTCACCCCAAGACACCAATCCAGTCCCAATCCAGTCCCTTAGCCTCAATCCCAGTCAGCAGCACCCACAGACCTGCACCAAGCCCAAAACCAGGCCTTGGTCTCAACCCCAGACAGTCCAAGCACCATCACCAGTTCCACGTGCAACTTTTAGCATCATAAAGCGTCACCAAATACTGCATGGATCCCAACCCCAAAATCCAGGCCCAGCCTCAGCCCCAAACCCTGGTCCCTGGGCCAGCTCCAAGCCCAGCCCCAGCCCCTGGCAAAACCTTAACCCTAGCGGGGTCACTGACACCACCCTTATTCCCAACCCTCAAACCCAGGCACTAGCTCCCGCTTGGATCCCAGTCCCAAATCCGCGCCCGGGCCGACTCTATCTTCAGCTCTGAGCCCAGCCCCATCGCCGGGCGCGCGCGCCAGCCTCGGAGCTGCATTGCGGAGCGCCGGGGAGAGGCAGGAAAGGATGAAAGCGCACGAGCGCGCGCCGGCCGGGAAGGGACCCGCGACCACCCAGCCGCAATGCGGTGCGGGACCCGCCCTGCAGACCTTAGACTCCCAGGCCCAACCCCGCCTGCCTGCGAGCCCCGCACTCACAGTAGCCCCAGCCCCGGGCTCCCGAGACCGCGGCGAGCAGGATGCAGAAGAGCCGGAGACGCATCATGCAGGGCTGACGGATCCCGGCGGCCGCCTCCCAGTCGGTGCCCGTCGCCGGCTAGGGCTCCAGTTCCAGCTCGGGCTTTCCTCCTGGAGTTGGCAGCGGATGGCTATCTCTCCCCCTTACCCACCCCTCCCTCTTTCCTCTCTCCCCCAACCCTTCACCCTTGTCTCTCTCTGTGCTGTTCCTGGTTCTCCGCTGTTCTCGCCTCTCCTTCCACCCTCTCTCTTCTCACCTCCCCCCTCCCCCAGCCTCTCTCTCCTGGCACGCGCCGCTTTCCCGGACCCCGCGCAAGCGCGCGCCTCAGCCCTACTGCGAATGGGCGGGGGTAGAGAGCCTCCCGTCGCCGGGAAATACCCTGAATAACCCGAGGCCGACAGGGACTGTGGCCGCAGGGCTGGGGGAAGGGAGGCTAGGGCCGGTTAGGGGGTCCTGAAAAACCCAAGAAAAGGGAGATGGAAGGGGAGGGTGCTTGGAGATGGGGAGATGGGTAAGTAAAAGAATCTAACATTTTCTGACAGCAAATTATGCTCCAGGCACCCGTACTAGGCACCCTCAGCACCCTGTGAATTCTGCATTTTTACCTCACTCCACTTTGCAGATGAAAAACCTGAGGCTCAGAGAGGTCAGAAAACCTACTTAAGATCACACAGCTGGCTAGCAAACGATGATATTACAAAACCCATTCTTTTTCTACTGGCACGGTAAAGAGAAATGATTTTTTAGGACGTACAATAGGAAAGTTAGGTAAGGAAGGCCCACAGACCCTAATCCCCACCGCCCTCCTGGCCCTTCTCCCCGCCCCTTCCTTCCTGTCCCACTAGTTTAACTTCTGTCCCCAGTGGCTTTACCTCAGAAACCCGAATAGCCAGAGATGGGGACTGAGCCCGCAAAGCAGGTGGGAGTGGGGGCAGGGGGGTAATGGTTACAGAGAGGGAGGGTAAGGTGAAGGGATGGGATTCTCTACCTAGCACCAGGCCTCTGCCATGCTAGGACCTACCTAGGATTCCTGGAGCCCTCTGGGACCAGGGGCCCTCCTGATAGATCGGGCTGGTAATGGGACGCTGGGGTTGGGGGGACGGGACTGGGGTTGAGAGGGAGGATGAGCTGAACCTAGAGATCTAAGGTCCCAACTGAGCCCAGAAAACCTGAGCTCCAACCCTTACGACCCCCTTGTCATGAGTAGTTCAATGCACCTGTACTGGAGGCTAAGAGGTGGGGGTGAGAAGGGGAGAAGGGAAAGGAGACATAGAAAACCTCTTCAGACCAAGCATGGAGTCCAGGGACCAGGTCTCAGGCAAAGTCTGCATGTGGGTGTTCTTCCAGGAGAGGGCGCTGCAGAGGAACTGAAGCGCTAAGATTTATTAACAATACAGACACTTGGCCTATGGAGAGCACAGATGCTTCACATTCATTATCTTCCTTATTTCCAACGACCCTGCCGGGTGGGCTGGTCAGGATTTCTAATCTCGACGTTACATATTAGGCAACTGGAGAGCCAGAAAGAGCAAGTGATTCACTCAAGGTCACCGAGGAAGCTGGTTGTAGAGGCAGGAGGGGTGCAAGGGAAGCCAAGGCCTGTCTGAGGGTGTGCTAAGAAGAGTGTGTGGAAGAGTTTATGTCTTCTCCCGGGCACTGTACCATTGCACCTGGCCACAGGAGCCCCCAGCTTGGAATGCATGTGTGGGAGGGGGAGGCGTGTGGTGGAGGCATGCCTCATAAGGTCTCTCTTCTCATGTTGGCCTCCCCAGGTCTCCTGGGGCCCCTACTCCGGGGACGATGAGGAGGCATACTCGGCTGAGCCGCTGCCAGAACTCTGCTACAAGGCCGACGTCCAGGCCTTCAGTCGGGCCTTCCAACCCAGTGTCTCCCTGACGGTGGCTGCGCTGGGTCTGGCCGGCAATGGCCTGGTCCTGGCCACTCACCTGGCGGCGCGACGTGCTGCCCGCTCGCCCACCTCCGCCCACCTGCTCCAGCTGGCCCTGGCCGACCTTCTGCTGGCCCTGACCCTGCCCTTTGCCGCAGCCGGGGCTCTGCAGGGCTGGAGTCTGGGAAGTGTCACCTGCCGCGCCATCTCGGGCCTCTATTCGGCCTCCTTCCACGCCGGCTTCCTCTTCCTGGCCTGTATCAGCGCCGACCGCTACGTGGCCATCGCGCGGGCCCTCCCAGCTGGACCGAGGCCCCCGGTGCCGGGCCGTGCACACTTGGTCTCAGTCATCGTGTGGTTGTTGTCGCTGCTCCTGGCGCTGCCTGCTCTCCTTTTCAGCCAGGACGGGCAGCGAGAAGGCCAGCGGCGCTGCCGTCTCATTTTCCCCGAGGGCCTCACGCAGACGGTGAAGGGGGTGAGCGCCCTGGCGCAGGTGGTCCTGGGCTTCGCGCTGCCGCTGGGCGTCATGGCGGCCTGCTACGCGCTCCTGGGCCGCACGCTGCTGGCCACCAGGGGGTCCGAGCGCCGGCGCGCGCTGCGCGTCGTGGTGGCCCTGGTGGCAGCCTTTGTGGTGCTGCAGCTGCCCTACAGTCTCGCCCTGCTATTGGATACTGCTGACCTCCTGGCGGCCCGCGAGCGGAGCTGCCCCGCCAGCAAGCGCAAGGATCTGGCACTGCTGGTGACCGGGGGCTTGGCCCTCGCCCGCTGCGGTCTCAACCCCGTGCTCTACGCCTTTCTGGGCCTGCGCTTCCGCCAGGACCTGCGGAGGCTGCTACGGGGTCGAGGCTGTAGTCCAGGGCCTCACCACCGCGGCCGCTGCCCCCGCCGGCCCCGCCTTTCTTCCTGCTCGGCTCCCACGGAGACCAACAGTATCTCCTTCTGGGACTACTAGGGCTGCGAATCAAGAGGAGGGGGGCGGGCTGAGGAAATGATTCCAGGGAGGGTAGCGGGAAGGGGGAGTAGGTGGGGGACACTGAGAAAGAGGTAGGGACATCAGGAATTGCTTCTGTACTTCGGCACATTAAACTGACAACATGGAAATGAGGGGCAACGCAACAACTGTTACTATTTTTGACTCACCGGCTTGGAAGTGATTTGCAGCAGGGCAGAGCTGGTGGGTCCCCCACGGCCCCGCCCCTTCGCACTCCGCCGCGCTTGGCTCTGAGTGGAAGGCGCTGAGAGCCTGGGTGGGGGTGAGGGGCTGCTGAGCCTGCTAAAGCTTTAGGCACTGACACCCCCTCCACCTTCACCCGGTCTCTGCCAACAGAGGTGAGGTGGGGAAGCTGCCAGGCGACGAGGGGCGAGCGTTCCTCCTGAAATAGTGTAAGAAAGAGCTTTCTAACAACCAGAGTGCTATCCAGTAATGGCTGCCTTAGCAAGTACCGAGTTCCCGGCCTCTGGAATGTTCCGGCTGAGGCTGTCGGGGACTGTGTGTGTGCCTATGCCTGGTGTGGGGGTAGGAACGGGGCCAGGAGATTCCCGTTTTGGGTTGGATTCGGTTACCACTCTCCAGTCCCTTCTAAGGTTCGCTGGTGGAGAGAAAAAAGTTATTTGAAAAGTTGAGTCGCAGTTTTTCACCTTGGAGAAAATCCAAGGAGAGAATTCCAATTTGCAAATTTCCAAAGAGTGGTTATCACGGGCGGGGTGGGGGTGGGGTGACAGCCATTCTCCGTCTTCCTTGGGGACTGGCTCAGAGGGAATGTACTGAGACTGCCGGAAAGAGAGAGGTTAGACGAGGGAAAGAACTTCCCTGCAGGCAAGGGCCTGGGATCCACATAGGGAAGAGAGTATATGGTGTGGTGTTTCAATCCCTAGGAAGTCTCAGCGCAGGCCACTCTCATCTGGGGCGAGGGCAAGGCTGGGATGGCCTCTAAAGACATTGATTCCTGGTCTTTGTTCTACACAGTCACGACAGGCAGGATGGTGTCCACGTGCGACAACTCTCGCAGTTTAATATCCGGTCAGCCAAGCTGCCCCGACCACTCCAGCCAGGAGTCTGGGGACCCAGGGCAAGAGGGGCGGAGCGTGGCGGGGATGTCTCCAGGGAGGCGCTGGCCTGTCGTCCCCGCCCTGTCCCGCCGCGCCCAGCTCGGGCTAGCCTTCCTTCTCGGAGTCTCCGGCGGCTGAGACCAAGAACCACGGCCTCCAGGGGCCAGGATCCAGGGAAGTCCCGGACATAGCGCCGATCTTCAAAGGGTCCCACACGCCAGTCACTGGGGGCCAACCTGGAACCCTCCACCAGTGATCTCAGGAATCGCCGCTGAGTCAGCAACGCACGCGCGCGCCCGCGGTCGCCCTGGCCCCGCCCCTCCTCTGGCCCCGCCCCGTCCGCTTAGAGCCTTGGTTAACCCCTTCCTACACAGAACCGCAGGATAGTCACCCTGAGGAGACTCCACTCCATTCGAAGACCACGGAATTCCCTAGAATCCGAAGTCACGCTCCCAACTGGAGTTCAGTGAGCTGTGCGCTCTACAGTAGATTTGATTTCCGGCCTTGGTCTGCACTCTCCCAGAGTCTCTTCCTCAGCTTCACCTCAAGAGGAGGTGACTCAGATCGCGGAGCTGGACTCCTTCACCCAGGGGCGGAGGGCTACCTCTCGGGCTGTGCTTGGCGCAGGTAGCTAAGGCTCTTTCCTTTCTCTGGAACCCTGAGACGAGACAGGGGTGCAGAGGGCAGCAGTCGGAGCCTTTCTCTATGCCCTACGGGCACTTTGTTCTCCAAAGCTCCAGCTCGAGTGCTTTTAGTTTGTTGGTTGGTGAGCCAAGAGTTAAAACAAGAGCCTGAAGGCGGGCTTCCGTGACGTCCCTAGCAGTCTGTGTCCGACCTCCGAAGCGGGGGCGTGGCTAACATCGCATTGCCCCCTCCCTCCTTATTCCCCTGCCCCTCCCCGCTGTCACCAAGCCAGGGACACATGATGCAACCCGCCGCGGTTTCAGTAGTTTGATTGGTGGCCGCGCCCGGCGCCAGGCACAGGGATTGGGCAGAGGAGGCTGTGACGAAAACTGGACACAGCCCTGTAAAGAAGGGAGGAGAGAAAGAAGGGGGGGGGCCGAAGGGGAGGGGGTTGGGGAGGCGGGGTCCCGGCACTGTGCTCGGGCCCCTAGCGCGCCAGTCCCGGGGCTGCAGGGAGCGCAGCGCGCTCGGCCCGGGCCGCGGCCACCGGACGCCCTACCGGACACGACCCTCCCTGGAGCTTGGACAACTGCCCACCTCGGACACTGCACCAGACACTGCCCCCCACAGGGCTGGACACTGCAACGGACGCTACTTCCCAGCTCCGGACATTGCTCCCTC